GAGAGCAATTGAAGAGTGGGTAATTTTATCAACAAATTTTGTTGAAAATAAAAAAAAAAAAAAGTTTTGGGAGTGAGATTAAAAAGTTAAGAAAGCCTAGAAAACAAAGGGTTTTTGTCAGTTAAAAAATAGGAGGGGAGAGTTATTAAAATGGGATTAGGGTATTGGAAGATGGAAAGGAAATTTTGGGGAAATTTTTAAATGTTAGAAGATGGGGAAGCTTGATTTCGTGTTAGGGCAAGGAAAATAAAATCTTGTAGATGGGGAAAAGGCCAGTTGAGTGTGGGGAATTCTGGGGCAGTAGGTAAAATGAAAGGGGGTAAGGGGCACCCGGGGATTGAGGGAAAAAAGATAAAAATTTTTTTAAAAGCGGTGGGGTAATTTTGGGGGGGTTTTGGTGAAATTTTTTTTTAAAAAATTTTGGGAAGGGGTAAGGTACCTAGGGTTTGGCAAGGCTGAAAAGTTCCTTTTTATAAAGGCAAAGGGGATAAAAAGATGCAAAAATTATAGGGTAATCTTTTTGGTGTACCGGTAAAGTTATGGGGGTTAAAATTGAAAGAATTAAGATAAGACGGAAATGGGATAGAATGAAAAAGGGGGCTTTGGGAAGGTAGGGGTGTGTGGACCAGGTTTTACGGGAAAACATATAAGTGAACAGTATTTAAAAAGGGCTAAAGAGGTCTTTGTGGCATTTAGGGATTGGAAAGGAAAAACAGGTGGATGGGGGGGAAAATGTGGCAGTTTGAAAGTGTTGGTGTAGGAGGTAGGTTACAAAAGCAGTAAAGAGTTTTTACGAGGATAGTGGGGCTAAATTTTGAGTATTAGGAAAGAGGGAAATTTTTTCCCCAAAAAAAGTAGGCCTTAACAAGATGTGTGATGTCCCCGGGGTTGTTTAAAATTTTATGATGGGGTTGTAAGGAAGAAAAAGCGAGGGTCTTGGAAGAGGGGTTTTTAAAGATAAAAATCACCACAAAGTGGGAGTTGCACAGCTGCTCTTTTCTGATGAAAACTGTGCTCTTGGGGGGATTTTGAAAAGGAAATTGCAGAATTGTGGGTGAATTTGGTGGGTGTGCAAAAAAAGAAAATTAAAGGGGAATACAGAAAGAGTTTTAAAGGTTATAGGGTAAAAAAAAGATTAGGGATGAAAAAATTGAATACAATTGGAGGAGAGAGTTGGAGGAGGGGAAATATCAGAATTTTTGGGGTTTGGGCGTGTCAGCGGATGGGGCCCCAGAAAGATAGGGGAACATAAATTGATGGGGGGAAAAGATGGGGGGCCTTAGGGGCTGTGGAACAAAGAACTTGCCTTTGGGGCAAAGAGGGGAATGTATAGGTATAGTTTTTACCCCGCTCTTATATGGGTGTGAACGTGGTATGAAGTTGCACGAGGGAACTGGAGGCAGTGGGGATGTCATGTCTGAGGGCAATGTGTGGTGTAATATAAGGCAGAGAAACGTATTTGGAATTAGGAGGAGGTGGGGGGTTACCAAAACTGTTTCCAAGGGCTGAGGAAAAGGGGTTGTTTAGGTGGTTCGGGCATGTAAGAGAATGGGCGAAAGAATGACTTCAAGAGTGTATCATCTGTAGGGGAAGGAAGGCGGGGTAGGGGTCGGCAGGAAGGGTTGGGGGGAGGGGAAAAGGGGGTTTTTTGTGTGCGAGGGTTTGGACTTCCAGCAGGCATGGTGAGCGTGTTTGATAGGATGAAGGGAGACAAATGTTTTTTTAAATGAGTGCTGTTGGAGTGGTGACAAAGTAAATTTTTGAAGGGATTCGGGGAAAACCCGGGCCCGGATTTGAGCCCCTAGTGGGAAGTACGTGCCTGCCCTGAAGGGGGGGTGTTAATGTTGCAGTTTAAAAACTGTAGTGTAAAGCCCCTTCGGGCAAGACATGAGGGAGTGAAGATTTTTAAAGTTTTTCTTTTTGGGGCCCACCCTCCCTTTGGGGGGAAATGGGCCGGTGTGATAATAATAAAAAAAATATTTTTCATATAAAGACACAAGTAGTGTTTTGTGCTTTATTTTTTTTTTAAAATACGAGAAAGCTACATTTTTGTTGAGTTCAACAACTGACAGAATTATACCATCTTTGTTAGTAGTTTACTGCAAAAATTTTAACTGGGGTTCAGTAAACAGCTTCCCACAGGGAAAATTTGGTAGACGCCACTCTCATCACCCCTTTATTAAAGGGTCCCAGCAGTCTCGTGCACGGGGGCTTACACACCGAAAAAAAATTAAATATTGTTCCATAAAAAAAAAAAATACAATGATTTAAGTTTTAAACATCAGGTATCATGACATTTTTTTGTTTAACAAAAACAGTGTACTTGTTTGAATAAATTGACTTGTGCCCTTTACATACAGAGTTATTACAGAGACATTTGTGTGTCTCTCCAACCCTTATCATTCTCTAATAAATTAGTGTAAATGTTCTTGACAAAATAAGGGGGAAAGTTTCTTTTAAAACCAAAAGATTTTTAAACCAAAAAAAAGAAATAAAAGGCCAAAACAGTCATTATACTTGTAACGAGGGTGTTGCAGCGTATGGTGAAGAACATCCCGGGGGGAAAACACTGACAATGTCAGCAGAACGGGTAAGGACATCGTAGGGTGAAATGCTCATGATTTTTTAAAAGGGTTTTGGAAAACATCCCTTTTAGTGGAACACTGAGGGGTTTCAGCAGTTTAGCGAGCCCTCTCGGGTGAGAAAAACTGATGATGTTCCAGAAGTACTTTAGAAGAACATCCTGGGGGGAGAACATTGATAGTTGCAGCAGTTGCTGAAAAACATCCGGAGTGAGAACACTGGAAATTTAGCAGTATAGCACGAACATCTTGAAGCAAGAAAACGAGGGTGTTTCAGCAGAATTTTTAAATTGCTTGGGAGAGAACACAGAGGATGTTGCAGCAGTATGTGTGAAGAACATCCTGAAGATAGAACACTGAGGATGTTGCAGCAGTTTGTGCGAGGAAAATCCTGGGAATGAGAACACTGAGGATGTTGCAGCAGTGTTTCTGAAGAACATCATTGGAGTGATAACACTAATGATGTTGCAGTAGCATGTATGAAGAACATCCTTGGAGTCAGAACACTGATGATGTTGCAGCAGTGTAAGTGAAGAACATTCTTGGAGTGAGAACACTGATGATGTTTGCAGCAGTATGTGTGAAGAACATCCTGGGAATGAGAGCACTTAGGATATTGAAGCAGTGTGAAGAACATCCTTGGAGTGAGAACAATGAGGATGTTGCAGCAGCATGTGTGAGAAACATCCTGAGAGTGAGAACACAGACAGTGTTGCAGCAGTATGTGTTAAAAACATCCTAAGAGTGAGAACACAGATGATGTAGCAGCAGGTTGAGTGAAGAACATCCTGGTAGTGAGAAAACTGATGAACTTTCAGCAGAATGCGTGAAGAACA